CAGTATTTAGGTGTTAGTCATCTCAGAGAGTTTTTAATTTTGCTTTCATATTTTCGAAGGGTATTTTTGCTAGATGTAGAATTGTGGGTTGATAGATTTGTTTATTTTCTTTAGGTACATCGAGGTAATCATTCCTTTAATTTTCTGCCTCCATTGTTACCATTGAGAAATCAGTATTATTTGAATTGTTTTCCTGTATGTGATTCCTCAGGCTAGTTTAAAGATTTTATCTTTGTTTTTTAACAGTTCAACTCTGATTTGGTTTTACAGGTTTTTCTGTGTTTATCTTAGTGGGGTCTACGAAATACTTGGAGTTAACAGTTATTTTTCCTACTGAATTTTGGAAATTTCAATTATTATTCACCAAAACACTATTTCTGCCCCCAAATCTCTTTCTCCCCTCCTTCTGGGAATCTAATTACATACTTGACATTGCCAACAGGTTACACAGGCCGTGTGTTTTATTTCCTCTTCAATCTTTTCTCTTTGTTCTTCAGATTGGATATTTTTTTTTTTTTTTTAAGATACAGTCTGACTTTGTCACCCTTGATGGAGGGCTGTTGTATCATGGCTCACGGCAACCTCCAACTCCTGGGCTTAGGTGATTCTCTTACCTCAGCCTCCTGAGTAGCTGGGACCACAGGCGCCTGCCACAGTGCCCAGCTATTTTTTGTTGCAGTTTGACTGGGGCCAGGTTTGACCTGCCACTTTCGGTACATGGGGCTGGCGCCCTACTCAGTGAGCCACAGGTGCCACCCTGGATATGGTTTTAACTTCAAGTTCACTGACTTGTTTTTCTCCCATCACAAATCTACTAGTGGCTCGGTGCCTGTAGCTCAGCAGCTAAGACTCCAGCCACATACACTAGGGCTGGTGGATTCAAACCCAGCCCAGGACAGCTAAATAACAATGACAACTACAACAAAAAAAGAGCCAGGCGTAGTGGCCGGTTCCTGTAGTCCCAGCCACTTGGGAGGCTGAGGCAAGAGAATTGCTTAAGCCCAATTGTTTGAGATTTCTGTGAGCTATGATGCCACTGTACTCTATGGAGGGCAACATAGTGAGACTGTCTCAAAAAAAAAAAAAATTGCTGTTGAACTATCTAGGTCTTGAATTTCCATTTACTTCTTTTTTATAGTTTTCATTTGTCACCAGTATTTCTCATGCGTTTACCCAAAGTATCATTTTAAAAAATCCTTAAATATGCAATAGAACCTCTGTTAGGTAACCACTGAAGAGGCTGTAACAAACTGGTCAACATACAGAGGTGAAAAAAAAAATACAGAGGTGGTCAACATAAGGAACTAGGCCTACTGTACTGATAACATACATGTGGTATATGTCTGGTCCATGAAAATGAGGTCAACTTAAGGAGGTGGTCAATGTAGAGAAGTCGTCATCTATGGAGGTTCAACTGTATTTATAATGACTACTTTCACATCATTGGCAGTTAATTCCTTTGGAATCATTTTATGACATGTTTCTATTGACCACTTTTTTCCTTGAGTTACATTTTCTAGCTTTTTTTCATCTTTAGTAATTTTTTATTGTGGATATTGTGGATAATAATATGGATGTTATTGTGAATTGTAATCTTTCCTGAGTGATTGAGTGATTTTTTTGTACTACTAGACAGGTAAGTTACTAGCTGGTAATCATACATTGAACCATACAATGCAGCAATTATAGTGCTGGGTATTGAAATGAAAGCCTACATTCTCACAAAAGCGTATATACAAATATTCATAGCAGCTTTGTTTGAATAGCCAAGAACTGGCAACAATTGAAACGTACTTTTAAGAGGTAAATAATGAACAAACAACCAACCAACCAACCTGTGGTATCACCATACATGAAGCAATAAACAAGAATGAACTATTGATACATGTAACAAATTAGGTAGATCTTGAGAGCATTATATTGTGTCAAAAAGTCAATCTATGAAGGTTTCACACTCTATGTATGCTTTAGTTTATTCAACAAAGTGACAAAATTATAGAATAAGAAAACAGATACTGTTGCCAAGGAGTTAGGGAGAGAAGGAGGATGTGGTTATAAGCAGCAAGAAGGAATTTCTCTGTGGTAATAGAGCAGTGTATCTCATTTATGGTACAGTTATATGAATCTGTTCTACAGTATTCATAGAATCATGAACAAAGATAAGCAAAAAAAAAAAAATGAGTACATTCAAAACTGGCAAAATTCAAGCAAAGTCTGTAGTATAGATAATTGTACTGTGCCAGTCAATTTCCAGCTTTTATTGGCTATGATCTCCATTCTCTAATGTCTCAAGTCAGTAAGACTGTTATTTTTCCTTTAGGTCCACCCTCTCAGTACATAAGAGAAGTACTGGGAAGAGTCCCTTCATGGAAGGTCTTAGAGGTGTATAAATTTATCCAGTACAGTTGCTTTCTTTCACTAGTCAGAAGCTCTACTTTTTCTGTCTTTTGTCACAGTCCAGTGTCTTTAAGCAATGTCTTTAAGTCATTTTTCATATTTTATCCAGAGCTTATAAATGTT